GTATGATGAACAGTACATACAATACGATTAATAACAAACCATGTCCACAATGTGTTGTGTGTTCAGAGGTCCTTGCAAATGACAGTTTAAAACCTGTGAAACTGGTGCGTCACTTACAGAAGAAACATCCGATGTTAAAAGATAAGCCAGTCGACTTTTTTCGATGTAAAGAATCAGCATTAAGAGGACAAAAACAAACGATGACCAGTCAAACCACGCTGCAAGTAAAATCGCTTACTGCTTCAAATGAGGTGGCACATTTAGTTGCCAAGGCCAAATAGCCACATACATTTCCAGAGAGCCTCATATCTCCAGCTGCAAAGGCCATCTGTAAAACTGTTTAGAGAGAAGTATGCAAGTTACATTGAACAAATTCCACTACCAGACAACACCATAAGCCGGCGTATAACTGATATGGCATGCGACGTCAAACGTCAGCTGATTAAAAGAATAAAGAATGGGATTTCTTTTTTATTACAATTAGTTGAGTCGACAGACATATCAAACTCATCTCAACTACTTGTATTCGTCCGCTACAGTCATGAGAGAAAATTGCTTGAGGATCTACTATTTTGCTCATCAATGAAAAGACGTTTACAGGAAAAGATATTTTAGAAAAACTCAGCGGTCAACTGAATGAACTTGGTCTTTGTTGGGACAATTGTGTCGGTGTGTGCACTGATGGAGCGGGATCCATGTTAGGAAAAAATAAAGGACTCGCTGCTTTGGTTCATAAAGTAGCTCCGCATGTTTGTTTCACCCACTGTATGATTCGCAGAGAGGTCCTCGCAGCGAAAACACTTCCTGCGGACTTGAACGCAGTGCTTCAAACAGCAATACAGATTGTGAATTTCATAAAGACTTGTCCCACTAAATCAAGACTGTTTGCCTTGTTGTGCATAGAAATGGGGTCCGAATATGAGTCGTTGCTTTTGCACAAGGAGGTTAGATGGCTCTTCACAGGCAAAGTCCTGCAGCGTATTTTTTCATTGCATTACGAACTGAGGATTGATTGTGGATCTTCCTTTAGGAGTTATTTTACTGACGCTAAGTAGCTCACAGATCCTACATACCTGTCTGACATATTTGATAGGCTTAATTCGCTTAATTTGTCCCTTCAAGGCCGTGTTCAAGCCAACTAAATCTAAACATGTTCCTGACCTTGGATGAATTTATCACAGAAAGTGTGTTTAACTGGGATACTACTAAAACGGAAATCACTCTCCATCTGCAATCTCTGTCTGCACATTTCAATAGGTATTTTTCTGAGCAGCATAATTGGAACCAGTACGACTGGGTTCGTAAACCCTTCATCAAAAGCACAGTGAGTCTGTCATCAAACCAGCTGGATGCCCTTCTGCACCTTTCAAGTGACCGTACTTTGACCCATCTCCATTGCAGAAATCTGGGAAGAGCAACACAAAGACCCAGATATAATCAAGATATTTCAGAACCTAGCAGACAGAGATTCTACTGTGCAATCCTAGAGGAAACACTGGAATTATTTCCCATGCGAGAGGCCACTGCCCAGACAGAAGCCAAATTCTTCAGAGAAGAAATACTTACTTGTTGGGGATTACCAGATTCCATTCTATCTGACCGAGGCACACAGTTCACATCAGCAGTTTTCTCTGAAGTTTAAAAATGGAAAATCAAACAGAAAATGACAAAAATCAAATAGCCTACCAGCCCCAGACCAATCTCACAAAACGACTGAACAGAACCCTAAAACAAATGATTTCTGTGTACGTAGAAGATAACCATAAAAATGGGACCAATACTTACCAGAACTTCGCTTTGCCATAAATTCTGCAGTCCAAGAAACCATCGGCATGACTCTAGCAGAGCTTCTACTCGGGAGGAAACTCCAAGGTCCTGTAGATAAGTTACTGCATGGACACAATTTATACCGATTCTCCGGCCTACGACGTTGCAGAACAACTGTCAAATTTGAAAATGAAAGCAAGTGAGTTCAGAAAAAAAGCTATGGCAAGACAACTCTGCAGTTACAATAAAACAGGATGAGAGGCATCCTATAAAGAAAAAGACAGTGTCAGGGTAAGCTTTCCTCAGTCAAGTTTATTGCATAATTTCAGTGCAAAGCTTGCAAACATATTTTATAACATGTTTTATAAACAACCAGGGGTTGTTGTTTTTTTTTTTTTTTTTCAAGGGTGAGAGTGTGGCAAGACTACACTGTTAAAAATTGTCCCGTTAAAAAACAGTAAAATACTGGCAGCTGCAGTTGCCAGCAATGTACTGTTATTTTACAGTATGTTGCTGTAAAAATACATGGACTACATTGATTTACACAATACTCAAGTGAACTCATTTTGCTCACTGAAAGCAACTGCCTCAACTTGGTCAACTGCTGAATGAGTTTATGAAGTAATGTGCTATATATGCTTAGAAGTATACTTATAATGATAACTTGTTTTAGTTAATTAGAAAAGTTCGGTTTAACTCTAATGTCTTATTTTTCACAACAGCACACATACATGTAAATCTGGAATCACCAGAGAGATTCTGACTGCATCAGCAACTAAACAGCTGCTGTCTTTAAATAAATAAACATGCAGAATAACATCAGCAGTTCATTGTTCATCTTTAACTCATACACTGGCTCTACTCTCCTCCACAATGGTGACAGACAGAGGAAATTAGCTTCAGGTTTTACAGTAAAATACTGTTTTTTCCTTGATTTAACAGTAATCTACTGGCAGCTGTGGTTGCCAGCAATCTACTGTTTTTTTACAGTCTATTTCCGTTGTTTAAATTAACAGTATATTACTGTTAAAATACATTTTTACACTGTATTTTTACACTTTTTACCTCTCACACCTTTAACCCTTTAAACCCCAGAGCATATACTTCAGTTTTTATTGAAGTGTCCACACTACTGAGTGTTCAAGAAACATGGAGCAAAGCTGAAGTAAATTCATTAATTAACTGACTAATTAAATGATAATTGAGGATTAACAATGAACAAATGAAGAAATACTGAAGGGAAAAAACAAGAACAGAACATACAAAACTTTAGTCACAGCTTTATAATGAAATAACCTGAAGAACAACAAATGATTAAATCATTTAAATGATCAGCGGATGATTAAACAACTCTACAAACATCATCACCAGCTACACTTATTACTTAATACATGTATTTTTGTATAACATCTACTAAAGTTCTTCTTGAGAAAAAAGTGAAAGTTTTACGTCACCATCATGGAGAACAGAGTTTGCTTTAGTTGGGCTCTTAGCCCTGTCATTTTTAACATTTATATATCTTGGCTGCTGCAATTGTTAAGAACTTTGCTTAAAAAGCTCCTTTGTTGTGGCAAGCCAGCCAAAAACCTAAATCTGAAAAAATAAGATCTGGTGATGTTCATGTTGCAATTAAATGGCAGAGTCTGTTCTCATTTAGTATAATATAATTTTCTGCTCCTGTTCAATGTTAAATCTATTGTTTTACATTATATGTCTATATATGGCAATGATTTCTGGAAGTTTTTAAGAATATCTTGGACAATAACACTGCTCTATGGTGTAAATCGCACTCAAAAAGACATCAATAATCAGCGTATGAACCTCAATAATGGTGACAACTAACAAAATTAACAGTTTAACTCACAAACAGGCAACTGAAAGTCGAAACATAAACAAAAGCAGAATCAAATACAAATAAAGAAAACTGTTTTCCATTATACAACATTTATTTATACAGCAATTCATGCTGGGATATTTGTACCGTGCCACTCCCAGCAAGCATGCATTGCAGCATGAAACATTTGAGATGTTACCATTGTTGAGATACAAGGTCAGATTCATGAGGTCTGAGTGTGTAGTTGTCATAACTGAACTGTTTTTGTATGTTATTTCTTAACTGTTAAGTAATTACAGAGGTATCTTTTCTGTTTCCACTTCTCATTAATTAAATTAATACCTGCAACTAAGCATAAATTCTATTGCATGAGGCCCTTCTTCCAGATTTATACCAAAACATTTATCAGAACTAATTTCAGACAAATAGATTTTTCTATTTATTGACTATCCAACTTGATTACTATAATACAAGCATTTTGTTAACTCTTTATTATAGTGATTGGAGAGTCTGAATTAATAAGTTCAAGGGTGAAGAGCCCAACTAAACCAGCCCCTCACTCCATTACGGTGACACAAAAAACACCTTAATTTCTGTTGGATCTCAATGAGAATAGTATGGAAGTCAAATCAGTCAGTAATAAGTGTGTCTGCTGTTGTTTGTGGAGTTGTTTAATGATCCTCTGCTGAGACTGAAGCTGTTTTATTTGATTTGATTTTATTTAATGCTGTAACTCAAGTCACTGTTTGTGTTTCTTGTTTATTTTCTTCAGTAATTGTAATTATTAACAGCAGGTGTTCATCAGTGTCTGAATTCACTCATTAGTGTTCATTAACTCTGTCAGGTGAACTATATTGATGAACTAGTTGATGGAATAGTGAACAAAGTGTGATTTTAAACACAGACTTCAAAATGTCGAATCTGAACTCTGTTAGCTCAGTTTTCTGCTGTTGGTTATTTTCTCGAAAACAAATTTTTTTTAACAGATTATTACTGTTTTAGTGAAAAAACATTATTTTACCGTAGAATCCGACCGTTTTTTAACAGCAATTTTTTACAGTGTAGATCAGCTCCTGACAGACATGTTAACTAATCAGTTTAACTCTTATTAAATTCATTCATTCATTTTCTTTTCTGCTTAGTCCCTTTATTAATCTGGGGTAACCACAGCGGAATGAACTGTCAACTTATCCAGCATATGTTTTACGCAGTGGATGCCCTTCCAGCGGCAAGCCATCACTGGGAAACAACCATATACGCTTGTTCTCACTTATACACTACAGACAATTTAGCCTACCCAATTCACCTGTACACCATGTCTTTGGACTTGTAGGCAAAACCGGAGCACCCAGAGAAAACCCATGCAAACGCCGGGAGAATTTGCAAACTCCACACAGAAATGCCAGCTGATCCAGCCGAGGCTCGAGTCAGCATCCTTGCTGTAAGGCGACAGCACTACCTATTGTGCCACCACGTCACGCTCTTATTAAATTATATTTATATAATTTTGTGTTTCAGTACATGCTATTTTGGGAAGACAAAATATATTCATAAGCTCTCAGAAAATTCAATAAGAGAATTAACTGCACAATTACTTGAAATGTGTGGATGGGATTCAATTATTTGTTAACCCAAAGTGAGTTTCTCTTTTTTTGCAGTATTGGATGCCTGATTGCAGTTCAACTCCAAACTCAGTTGGACCAGCTGATCAGTGTCTTCAGAATTACCACAAGCTTCTGGGCAGATGTGTGGACAGCTATGAGCCAAACTTGGGACGTTTGGCTTTTAGGTAATTCCAGAGACAAGGTATTCAGTAAATTGCTTATAATAAAAGATGCTCACTGCTTACCCCCTTATAGTTAAGTTGTTTGCAGTTTCATTGTTGTAAAAATACCATACTTTTTCCTTTTTTTATCAGCAGGTGGAGAGACCGTCTGGGCAGCAGAAACAAGACAACTAATCATAGTTGAGTTGAGATTAGTATTATTAACTTGACTAGTTTGGTTGCAGACTTGTTCAATAATTAACAATTTGTATAAGTTACAAGATCAATGGTCCTGCTATCAATGTTTTTGTAACTTAAATTCAGTACAGTTTAGATACAATCAAATGTCCAAACCATCTCTGACTGAATGACATCAAGGAAACAGGATCAAAAGATCATTCATTATAGACCGTTTCATAGGTAACAGCACATCCTTTGTGAAAAATAATTTATTTTTGTGTCATCATCACACGACAAAATACATTTCAACTGATTTCAGTTGGTTATATTTTTCAGGTCCTCCTGATCATTCTGTTCTCCTGGTTGTGAGGATGTGCAGAGGCTGTATTTGTCAGTGTTAAAAGACTTGTGCAGCTGTATGCAGACATACAAGCAGCTGACAAAGAGTTCTGGAGCAGGACAGACAGGTAGTTCACAGTGGCTAGGCTAGAAGTTTATACTTGGGTGGCCAGAAAGTGGCCTCCGCTATTTTGGGGGGTCCATACAAATACACCAGTGTAAGCTATACTATTGCACTGAAAAAATTAAATGAAAGAATTAATTAATCGGTTGAACACAAAATATTTTAAAGAAAGCTTAAGTATCAAGGTGGCAATATACAGTATCTGTTACATTGTAGTACATGAGCTGGAAAATACAGACTCGTAAATGTTTAGTTGTTAAGATTAGTTAAATACTAAATCCTATACTTGAGACCGGCTGCATATACAGCTTTAACTGAACTGAATTTAACTAGAACTACACCAGCATTCCAAGTGCTCTAGACTAGCTTTTTGCACTGGTGCATCTAAAATGTTTGATGGCATTGCATTTAACACTGCAATTTTATATGTTATTTTTTTTTTAATCACAATCCATATAGGCAATATTGACTTGTAAATGATTAACTAAAATCGGGTCAACAACCATTATCGCGATTGTGTGTAGAATTTTGTGGAAATTAATGAATTTAATCCATTTTGAAATAAGACTGAACCATTAAAAATGTGAAAAAAGGGAAGCGCTATCAATACTTTCTGGATGCATTGTATATGGTTTATAGCGCGTTATCAAAGACTTAAAAAAAATAGTCCAACTTTATCTACAGCAGCAAAAGACCCTCCACATCAAAAGCTACTGGTCAGCTCACGATTAAGAAAAAATCTGAAAAACAAATAGCTTATTATGCCTTCACAAGAAATCAGTGTTTTTGAGTCTAATGAAGATAGTACTATTTTATCAAATTACTATTTAGCCTGGCATGTTTACTGTTACAAAATATTTTAAATGTTTCTTAAAATAAAACATATTGTGTTCAATGGGGAAAAAGTAGCTGTTTTTTACACAGAGATAAAAAAAAACACATTTCAGAGCAGTAATCACAATACTGTGAAACTGTGATATTTTTATCCAAGATTATACCCTCAGAATCTTATACCTGCCCATTCCTAGCCAGTTACAGTCAGAGTTTTTTTAATTAATTTTTTTTTCATTTGGCCTATATTCTGTTTTTCTATGTTCTTGAAAATGCTGCTGTGCATGAAAATGTGACGATATATCCAGGTTCTATAGTTAATTCTGAAATAAATCTTAAAATGAAACAATATTTAAAAATGCATTATTTAATGTGTCAGACACTAAATAAACATGTCAATTCATTTATATTAATCTGATTCCCTAACAGGGCAGCACGGTGGCGCAGAGGGTAGCACGTTGCCTCACAGCAAGAAGGTCGCTGCTTCGAGCTTCGGCTGGGTCAGTTGGCGTTTCTGTGTGAAGTTTGCATGCTCTCCCTGTGTTGGCGTGGGTTTCCTCCGGGTGCTCCGGTTTTCCCAAGTCCAAAGACATAGGTGAATTGGGTAATCTAAAATTGACCATAGTGTATAAGTGTGTGTGAATGAGTGTGTATTGGTTGCAGCTGGAAGTGCATCCGCTGCGTAAAACATATGCTGGATAAGTTGGCCTTTCATTCCGCTGTGGTGACCCAAGATAATAAAGGGACTAAGCCCAAAAGAAAATGAATGAATGAATCCTTAACAGTTAATATTGGTATAATGAGCAGCAGTTGACATTTATGTAAATTAACCATTTGAGCGTGCTTAGTGTGGGCTATGTTGTGCCATTAAATTGTCAATAGGTTTTTTTTTTTCTACATTTTAAATCTGCTTTAGCTTTCTTCTTTCCTATAAACCTGGAAATATAATATATATATATTTTTGGTTTTTAACAAATTGCTCATTTTATTCTTAGATTGGTGTACGCTGATGGTCTGCTGAGAATTCTGCTGAGTTGAAGGGATCCTCCTGTCAGACAACCTCTCCAAAGTACAATAGGACTAGTAAGTAACATCTTAAACATACACTACTGTTTCATAGCTTTTAGGTTGGTATGGTAAATTCTCTTCTGATAGTGTCAGCTTTATTTAATTAATACAGTCAAGCAGTAATACTGTGAATTTAATACAATGTATATAATTAATAGTGTCACATGATCCTTCTGAAAAAATAGTATTCCAATGTACTGATTCTCTCCTCAAGCTGTTTTTTTTTTATATAAAACATTTTAAATAAACATATTTTTAGTATTCTTGATGTATGAAAAGTTTATTTTTAAGAGCATAGTATTTATTTATATTTTATTTATATATATTTGCTCTTTGATGATTGCTAACAATCAGACATGTTTCTTTAGAACAAAAAGAATTTGTGCAAAAAAGTATTCTCACTGAGCGTTGTCCAACTGTGGTCCAACACGTCATTTAAGTTTTCAAATAAGCCTAAAAGACTTGATTAGCTGCATCAGGTGCATTTAATTAGAGAGTTGAATATATAATTTCTTTATATATCCTCCTCTATAGCCTACATATAATAGAAGTTGTTTGCTGAAAAACCTTTTTGTAGCAGAAATAAAGCTATGATTAGGCCCACCCGGATTTTTCGCAGAACTCCGCAGATGTTTAGCCTATCATTAATTCTGTTTATTTACTTGAGTAAATGTGTGTAAATCTATATTAATTCAGTTTTTTAAATTAATTTCAGTAATATTATTGACTAATGTGAAAATATTCATCTAATTTATGTACAATGAGGTTTGTACAGTAATATTTTCTGTCTTACTAGATATGTTATATGAAAAACTTGCTTTATTTACCAAATAAAGTTAATCTAATTGGATTTGCATTTTAAACATTAAATAAAACTTAAAATATATATATTTTTTATATTTTTATATATTAAGGTTTTAGTTATGATACTCCCAAAATAATTCCGCAGACTTCCACCATAATTTTCAGCAGAAATAGCAAAAAACACCCGCAGATTCCTCCTGGCCCTTGCTATGATATATTAAATGTGGTGTACAGTGTGACATTTTAGTTGACGAAACTTAGTTTATTTTGCATGTAATGTGGTATCTGAAGATTAGACATATATTTAGATACACATTTATACTAACACAATGATACTAAAAACCAAAAAAAAACATTTATTATGATTTCACAAGGAATTTAACTTTCAAATGGCTTTTCTAAAAATTAGTGCTCAGACACACTCTTTAAGTTTAAATTAAATTACACATTTTAGCTAGGCACTTGCATAACACATACTCCAGTTATATGTCATGAAACAAATAATATATATTTGTGGTAATATGAACTGCTGCAATGCTAATCTTTCTTCTTTTGGTTTCTTGCTTTATTTAAGGGTTCCCACTACAAGGATTAGATTTGGCTACTGCAGTCCCGGTTTGGGCCAGCCTCACTTGTGAAGACTAAAGATGAAGACAACATACAAGAACAATTTAGAGGATGGCGACACACTTTTTATTCCACCTATATATCCCCTTTTATGTGTAAGCAACATTCCACAAGAATAAAACAAAACTAGCCCCTTCAAGCAATTTTTTTTGACTGTCTACAGAACAAACCATCGATATACAATAACTTGGCTAATTACCCTAACCTGCCTAGTTAAGCTAATTAACCTAGTTAAGCCTTTAAATGTCACTTTAAGCTGTATAGAAGTGTCTTGAAGAATATCTAGTCAAATATTATTTACTCAGTTATTAGAAATGAGTTATTAAAACTATTGTGATTAGAAATGTGTTAAAAAATATATCCGTTAAACAGAAATTAAGGGATTTTATATATATATATATATATATATATATATATATATATATATATATAATCCCTTAATTTCTGTTTGTGTCTTGCATTAGAGTTTGCTTAAAAAAACTGGTTATCTCTGAGAAAGTATTGTTATTTTATATTATTGATGTGTTATTAGTTCAGAGGAGATTGCAAATTGTTGAATGCCATTTATTAAAAAAAAATTGTACTACAGACTTTAATAAGATTTTATCAGACAATTATTTTAATTTGTATGATTTTATTTACTACTGTAAATATTGTTTGCTTGGTATTTTTTTTGTGTTTGTGTACTCTTTTATTATTGTAACTCCCTGAGGAAAGTCTTTTGGATAATGAACACATGACTGGTATTATCTTGTATTTTAAAATTATAGTCTTGGAAACATGCATTTTCTTTAACACTATTTAAGAAATTATAAGCATTATAACATGTGCTGACACAAGTTATTTGTGTTTTTACTATAGTAAACTATAGTCACCCTTAGTGTACATGTTTTGAAGTACTTGTAAATATTCCTATGGTCTTAATGTAAATGCTGCAATGGACTTTGTATTTAAAATCTTTATTGCACAGTAGTTCAGCCATGGTTATAGTAAAACTTGTTGGTTTTGTTTTAAACGTGGTAAAACATGGTTATGTGTGATAAAAGTATGTTAATCTATTTGTATGTTTGTGACAATATTAATAAATCTTCAACTGTTATTGAGAGTGGTGTGTCGTGTTTATTATAAATAAGCAGCTGCTGCAGCTAGTGGTCCACAAGTATGAGCAAAACGCCTGAGAACAGCGCCTCCGCGGCGCGGCCGGTATTTCCGGTTGCGTCGTCCTAACATCGGCCGGACAGCGTTTCCGATCATTTGCCGACGTCGCGGCGACATTTTGCCAATTAACAAACGCTTCCTGAGCGACATCGCACCGATGGAATTTTGAAAATCGGCACGACGTCGGCCCAACGTATGTGTGCTGTCTGGGATATAAATGCAAGTATATATAAAACAAAGATGTCACTCTGTAAAAAGGTGTTTATTTTAATTAAACAGCCGAAATGCAGAACATAGGCTACTTGATTTTTACACTGGGAAAAATGTAGCCTATTAGAAAAAGCCACAATAAAAAAAAGCAAACAGCAGTTAACACCAGAAAAAAACAACGTTTTCATTATTAAAGCATAACAACAAAACTTTTTATATTTTAATGAATTGAAATCATGTATTGTAGGCATTTTGGTCAGTTTTACTGCATTAATGTAGGCTATTTAAAGCTGGACCGACCGACGCAGTAGACATGATGCGCATTTGTCTAATTTATTATGCACGCAAAAACTTGTAAACCAAATATGTTGCCGGATTCTTTCATGGGCATGAGAGATAAAGTGCTTATGAAGTGCTTCGTCGGCCTCTGGTCGTTAACCGATGCAGAGCCGACGTTTGTTGAGCTGGAACAATAGAACACACAACCGAACGATCATGTGTATGTTTGGCCAACCATATACCGATGTTAGAATTAAAGGGGCCGACGTGTTGACCTTCGGCCGACGTCGGCCCAACGTATGTGTGCTGTCTGGGATATATATATATATATATATATATATATATATATAATAAGATTGCTTTAATAGGAGATTAACTCGCTGTTTGGTTAACTGGTGATCAGTAACCTTTAGCCAGAAAAGTTTTTTTTAAACAAAAAGAGCATGTATACAGCTATATTCAGCTTGTTTTGACACATTAATTAAAAATTTGTGGCTAAGAAATAAAGCCCCTTTACAGCCCTGGAGTTTCAAGGCTTAGATCGGCCCACCTCAGTTCACAACTGACTATATTAAACTCAGGTCATTTCCAGTTCAGTTTCTAATGACACGATCACGTCTTTTTCAAGCACACAGCTGCTTTTAAGATTAAAGGGGAGCTGAATCTCCAACACTATTCTTTACAACAGCACAACGTCCTTTCCTGCAATATCTGAATATATATTCTGTGCTGAACTCTTTATAGATATCCAGTCCTTTTATAACGGTGCTCACACGATAAGATAAAATATGTACACCTATATAAGTGACCCAAACAGTATTACATGTCTTAGCACTAAAAATGAAAATAAATGACTCGGGTGAGGTTTGAACTCCGGTCAGCGGCGTCATAATGAAACGTGCTGACCGCTGGACCACAATGGCTTCAGCATTTACTCTCCTTTTTAGATTTCTGATCAAGGTATGTCAGATTTATTTCAGTTTTTCTGCTTTGGTTTGTGCTAACTGATCCTGAATCTGTGAACTCTTTTCCACCGATTTAAAGGTTTTAATCATTCCCTGATTTCAATACAGAGTTACTGTAAAAATCTATTAAGATGACAATGTTATCTGTATTTAATTTAAACATTCCCTTTTATAATGATTTGTGCATAACTATGTATTCCCTAATGCAGTGGTTCTCAAACTGTTTTCATCAAGTACCACCTCAGAAAAAAATTGTCTCTCCAAGTACCACCAAAATGAGCAGTATTGAAATACAGTAGCGTAGTAGGCCCAATAAAGCAGCTACAACTCTGCACAGTTAAAAACACGTGGCAGATTACCTCAGAAA